CGGCCAGGATTGCACAGCACACCAGGGTGGGTCAGGGACTCCCAGCATCCCTGAGTCCCAGGGAAGCACTCCTTTTCTGAGATGCCCAGGCCTGAGAAGAGGGAGTGCTCAGGAGGCTGGGGGCTCCTCAGGCCTGGGGCCCACTCTGTCCCCAAGGCCCTGCCGATGTTTCCTCTGCTCCACATGCCGACGAAGCCGGGTCAAGACCAGCTCCGAGGCCTGGATCAGGCTGTGCTGTGGGGACAAAAAGGGAGGGTAAGTGGAGATAGCCGAGCACATGCTAGACCATTCTGGGAGGCCAGGGGTTCAGCCACAGCAGGAGGGCAGAGAGCAGACTCCAGGGTGTTGGGTGAGAATGGGTCTCCCTGGTAGGGGTGGAGGCCAGACTCAGCACGAGGGGCTTGGGTCAATTTCCTGTGGGAAGGGCCAAGCTTGGACCTAAATGGAATCAGTGTGAAAGTGGCCAAAGCAAAAGGACTTGTGGGACAGCCTGGGCTACACAGTATGACTCAACCTCCCAGCCCCACAAGCTGGGTGGACACAGCACAGTGGGTCTGATACCAAGTACTGCACACATGAGTGGAAAGGGGGAAGGAAGGAATACAAGTGTAATCCGTGGGACAGACAGATGGCGCAAAATGACAAATGGCATTAGAGGAAATTAGAGAGGTTCAACTATCAGAGAGAAGCTGAGGTTAGGTCACAGTGAGAAGGACAAAGGTGAGGTCCTGGCGGCAAATGAGATGTCAACAGATGGAGGTCCATGCAAGAGTGTTAGGCAGGAGTTGAGGCTAGACCTCAGAGAGGCTCCCCTGGGCCTAGTAAGAGACTTTACCTCAAGAGGATTAAGATGGAGGAGATAGGGCAGGACACCTGAAATCCTCTGTGGCCTTACACACAGACAGACAGACAGACAGACAGACAGACAGACATACCCCACCCCTGAAATTCTCCCTGGCCTTTACACACATACACACACCTAAAATTATCCCTAGCCTACATACATACACACGCACACACGCACAGTCAAGTGTGACGTAGAAGTCAGAATCTTACCAGCGAGCTGGGGGCTAGACCACATGGCCAAGGGAAGATGGGAAGGGAAAGCAGGCTATGGTGGGAAACGGTTAGGCTGTATCTAAACAGAGATCAAATAAGCTGAAGGAGATCAAGACCAGCCTGGTGGCTAGCCCTTGGTTGGGGGAGACAACACGAGGAATGACCAACAGAATTTGGAAAAAATGCCTGGAGACTATGGGCCTCAGGTGAGAGTAAAGAATAGAGCATGGCCAGACGGCACAGGCCTGTAGTCCCAGCTACTCCTGAGGCTGAGGCAGGAGGATTGCAAATTCAAGGCCTGCATGGGCTACAGTGAGAGTATGTCTCAGAAAGTCAAGAGCTGGAGGTGTGGCTCAACAAGAATATCTGCCCAGAATCCCCCAGTGAGGGGCTGGGGGTGTGGCTCAGTGGTAGAGCCCCTGCCTAGAATCCCCAGTGAGGGGCTGGGGGGTGTGGCTCAGTGGTAGAGCCCCTGCCTAAAATTCCCCCAGTGAGGGGCTGGGGCGTGGCTCAGTAGTGGAGCTTTTGCGCTACAAATAAATAAAGGGTGGTACCTGGAGGATGTGCACCCCTTTCAGGGACACCACAGCCAGCTCCCGCAGCCCATCCCCAGTCAGGTCCACATGGGCCATGGCCAGCAGGGGGCTGGCAAAGGTCCTA